ACAAGTTTGTGTAGAAGGAAGTAACCAAATCTATACTTACATAATAAAAAGGACACTTGTAATATACAAGTTTGTGTAGAAGGAAGTAACCAAATCTATACTTACATAATAAAAAGGACACTTGTAATATACAAGTTTGTGCAGAAGGAAGTAACCAAATCCATACTTACATAATAAAAAGGACACTTGTAATATACAAGTTTGTGTAGGAGGAAGGAACCAGATCTATACTTAAATAATAACTAGGGGACTTGTAATATACAAGTTTGTGTAGAGGGAAGTAATAAGATCTATACTTGCACATAAAGCAAGGATACCTGTAGCGGCAAGCTTCACAAAATGATCAACTTTAAGAAGGTTCAGAACTACAAACAATAAAAGCATAACTTCAACAAAACATGTACTAAAGAAAAACCACCACCACATCACCGCACAGCTAAGTCAAGGTTGCAGGACAGGGAACAGAGCATATCCACCACCACCACCAGAATAAAATAAGTGTTCTACTGAAAGAAATTAAAAGTTTATATGTGAATAGAAAAAAAATTAGCTTGAAATAAAGTTTAATTACATACGAATAATCTACTTTGGTACTGAAAAAAAAAGGAGTCGAGATAAAAGATATCACTTCTTTTTTTTTATAATATCAGTATTTCTTCCACTTACTTTTAAACTCAAACAAACACACCCAGGTTAAACTAACACATTATCAATAAGTATCTGATGCTAAATTTCCCTACTATCACTTTTATAACCAGCTACGTGAGTTAGAGAAACAGCATGATTTTTTACACATTATGTTTGTCTGTGGATAGACTAGAAATTGCATACCATTCAAAAAACTGGTTAAGAAAATTATAATATTAGAAATATCAGTAAAATTTTTTTTTCTGATCAATATAAAGTAGATCAACTTATAAATATCCTATAACTTTCACCAGTCTAATAATATTCCCACATTAAGATACTTGTTTAAATTCCTAAGTTTATTCTTTACATGTTTAAGATTGTCTTTCACTTTAAAATGAAATTAACTACAGCTTTATTAATGAACTCAAATCATTTTTGGCTATATCACCTATAAAACAGAACCAAAGACAAGCTGTAAAAAGAACTTGCTACTTTTCATTTATCATTATTGACTAACCCCAATAATCCATCTATAATGAATATGACTACTTCTGATTTATTGTTGTTGCCTAATCCCAATCATTTCTTTTTTACAAATTACTATTTTTGGTTAATTGTTGTTCACTACTGAAAATTAATACTTTTATCTATAACTCTATAACTGTTGACTAACTCACTCCAATAATTTATCTTTACTAAAAAATTACTTGGCCCATATAAATTTTAACCGTACAATTATTTGGTCACATTTCTTCATTCTATGCTTTAAACAAACCAGCCAAGCAAACAACATTCATGCACATTTCACATCATGATGATTGTTTGATAAAAAAAAAATTGTTTTTTGATGGTCTCAGATTAAATACCAATAATCTGCAAGTGCAACAGAAAGAACTCGTATGCAAAGGATTAAAAAAAAATACAAGTTGAAGCATGACATCAGTATATGAAGAAACATACCTTCAAAAGATGAGCGGCGAAGGTTTACTGCTTCTGTGCTCTTGGGCATGGCCACAGAAGAAGGATGACTGCTCCTGCTAGAGGCAGAGAGAACATCTTTTCTAAGACGGGAGGTTCGGGTAGGGCGAGGGTTAACAGCTAAGTGCAGCAAACTCTGTGATAAATAAGACTTAGGACCATGAGGGTCACTAGTGGAAGGGGCTTGTGGGCGGGAAACAGAAAAAATGGTGGTGGAGGATTTGGTATTGTGAGGGGTAATAGCAGGGCCAGCAAGGTGTACCATGCTACGAGACTTTTCCCTTGCCCTGGGAGGATACTGGGGTTTCTTACTCTGTCTAGAAAAAGGTACAGAGTTAGCTAAATTTAACATGCTTTTGCTCATACTTGCTGCTTGGACCTGCCCTGTCCCTGGCTGCACGGATCCTGCATAGCGACGGCGAGGTTGTGCCAGTAAATCCAGACGAGATGTGCTAACAGCTCTTGTGGTTTGTATACCTGGAGATTGTGTTCTAGAAGTACGATCCCACGAGGAGGGAACAGATGGAGTCAAATCTGTCTTTCTGCGACCACGGGAAGACATACATATCAAGCTACGAGTCATAGCATCTTCACCTAAAGAAACATATTCATTTACTAAGAGTGAGAAAAATGTCCAGGTATAGATGACCCATTTAATATAGATCAATTATTTATTTACAAAACTGTTCTGAGGTTAAAAATAAATATTCTTAAAATCTCATTAAAAACTCAAATTTTTTTTTTTTTATCAAACTCGTAATAATGAATAACAAAAGAATGTAAATTGAGAAATGTTTTTCCCCTCTTACTGAAATTTATTTATTTATCACTAAAAAACAATATTTGAGCCGTTTTTGTTGGTTATGTTTAACCCTTTCTCTACGGGTCGCAGGTGAAAGACCATGTCAT